ACAGGGATGCCATACCTGCATTTTGTCCTGGGCCCCACCATCACCCGCGTGTTCGAGGAGAAGAAATACGTGGAGCTGGACCCCGGCGAGCTCTCTGGGTGTTCAGTGGGGTCCCCTCTTGAGCAGGAGGGCAGCGAGCCCGAACGTCAGCCCTGGACAGCGCTGCATCGCTGTTTTTGGGGTTGTCCCATGCTGGGAGAGACCCTCACGTGTGTTCCCCACCCCCTCGGTGGTCACAGCACGCCAAATTTGTGGCTGTCACCAGCTTCCTGTGCCTGCGCTTCTTCTCTCCGGCCGTGATGACCCCCAAGCTGTTCCAGCTGCGGGACGCGCACGCAGACGCGCGGACCGGCCGCACTCTGCTGCTGCTGGCCAAGGTGAGACAGGGGACACCTTTGGGGCTCCTGGCTGGCTCTCGCTGGGGACAGCCGGGTCTTCTGGAGGTGACGCTGCCACCCCCGGGGTCCCCAGGCCATCCAGCTGGTCGGGAACATGGAGCCGGCGGCCGGGCGTGCCAAGGAGACGTGGCTGTCACCGCTGCTGCCCGCCCTGCAGCAGGGCACCGCCCGCATGAGGGACTTCATCACCCGCCTGGTGGCCACGGAGGAGGACGAGGGCGAGGAGGAAGGTGAGGGGCGGCCGCTGGGGCCCCCCCCGGCCGTGGTGAAAGAGGGGCTGCTCCTTGTGCACAAGACGCGGGGCAAGGGGCCGCTGCTCGCTGCTGCCGCCGGCAAGAAACTCCATTTCTGCCTCACCGGGGAGTCCCTGGGCTTCGGCAAGAGCCCCGGTGCGGAGGTACGGGCGTGCCGGAGGGGCGGGGGGCCGGCAGCGGGGCGGCACCGACCCCCTTTGTGTGTCCCCTCCATCAGCGTATGGGTGCCATCGCCCTGGGCGACATCCTGGCGGCCGAGAAGGTGGAGGAGAAGAGCTTCGGCAGCTCCCACGTCATGCAGGTGGTCTACACGGCCGCGGGGCAGCAGGAGACAGCCTACCTGCAGTGCAAGGTGACGACAGCGGGGACACCCCGCTCCGTGTCCCAGCCCGGCCGCTGTCACAGCTCGGGCTCCCTCTGACTGTCCCCAACCCCGCAGTGCGTCAATGAGCTGAACCAGTGGCTGTCGGCCCTGCGCAAGGTGTGCGGCAACAACCCCCGTGTGCTCCGCTCCTACCACCCCGGCGTCTTCCGCGGGGACAAGTGGAGCTGCTGCCACCAGCGGGACAGGACAGGTACGGGGAGGTGTCCCCGGAGCCCCGCGGGGGTGCTGGGGGTCCCCCCGTACGGTGACACTGCTGTCCCGCAGGGCTGGGATGTGACCGGACCCGGCACGGCGTGACCCTGCAGGACTGGAGTGATCCCCTGGAGCCCGCGGTGGAGGCTCAGCGCCTCTTCCAGCACCTGCAGGGCCTCCGGGGGACCCTCAGGTGAGTCCCTGCCTCCGGGACCCCCCCGCAGCTCCCCTGCGGCCCCTTCCCCTCCCGCCAAGGGCCCTCTCCTGCCCCTCTCCCCAGGGAAAAGTACTGGGAGCTGCTGGAGCCGGAGCACGCCCAGAACGGGCCCCGGGGTGAAGGTAGGTTTGGGGTGGGGGGGTCGGGAGATGTCCCCGGGGCTCACAGGGGGCTGTGGTGGTTTGGGGGTGACCCCAGGGGAGCTGTAGGGTCTCAGTGTCCTTCTCCTCTCCGCAGACGCTCCCCTGCCCGAGGGGCTGTGCCGGCTGCTGGCGGTGCTGGCGGAGCTGGAGCGCTGTCACCGCCGGGCGCAGCCCCCGGAGCCGCCGGTGCCGGCGCTGCTGCAGCTGCAGACGTGAGGGAGCCGAGCTCCTCCCCGGGCAATAAAGGCACTTTGTACCCTGCAGCCGCTGCCGTGTGTCTCTTGGGATGTCTCTTGGGGTGGGGGCACTGCCCCGAGCTCTGCTGCTGCTTCGAGTAACTCTGGTGACATCTCTCAGGGTCCTGCTGCTGCTGGCGGTTCTGCTGGTGGCAGCACTGGTGCCGTCCAGCCCTGCTGGTTCTGCTGGTGGCCGATTGCTGGCAGTGGTGGCATCCCTGGAGCCTCTGCTCATGGCCCTGCTGGTGCTGCTGGTGGCACTGGTGCCGTCACCAATGTCCCTGCTGGTGCCAGCGGGTCACCGCGATTGTGTCTCCAGTGGGGACACCGCTGATGGTGTCGCTGGTGTGTGTTCTCCTCGTGCCACCGCCGATGGCCGCAGCGGTGGCTGTGGTGTGGGAGCCCCCCGTGTGTCCGCTGCCGTCCCCAGCCCCGCTGTCCCCAGCCCCGCTGTCCCCAGCCCCGCTGTCCCCGCTGCCATTGCCCACAGCGAGTCCTCCCGCCCGCCTGGGGGCGCTGTGGGGCCGCTGGAAGCACCGGGCGGGCGGAAGTGACGTAGAGGAAGTGAAGCGGCGGCCGCTATAGCAACGGCGGGATGAATGCGCCTCCGGCCTTCGAGTCCTTCCTGCTCTTCGAGGGCGAGAAAAAGTGAGGGGATGCACGCGGGGCGACTAATTAACCCTAATTAGACCGCGGTGGGTGGGGTGGGGGGAGGGATCCCGGGCCTTTCCTCCATCCCCCCGCTGTTCCCTGGCCCGCACGGGTCGATGACATCCCTGTACCCCGTGATGATCCCCCAGGATCACCATCAACAAGGACACCAAGGTGCCCAACGCCTGCTTGTTCACCATCAACAAGGAGGACCACACGCTGGGGAACATCATCAAGTCGTAAGTTCCAGCGGGGAGGAAATTTCGGGGGAGGTTTGGGGCTTTTCCGCCCTTCCTTTCACCGGTTTGGTTTTTATTATTCCGGTTGCAGGCAGTTGCTCAAAGACCCGCAGGTGCTGTTTGCAGGGTATAAGGTCCCACACCCTCTGGAACATAAAATTATCATCCGTGTCCAAACCACGCCGGATTACAGCCCCCAGGAAGCTTTCACCAATGCCATCACGGACCTGATTAGTGAACTCTCCCTCCTGGAAGAGAGGTTCAGGGTAAGGTTATTTTTTTTTTTTTTCCTTAAAACTATTTGGGCTTGTTGTAATTAATCAAAGGGGTCGTGTGTCTGAAAGCTGCTGGGTTTTAGGGTTGTGAATTAATTCAAGTCACTCTCCTTGTACTGTTCAGCTGCTGTCAAAGCATGGCAGAGCCTGGCTGTTCTTAAGTGCATTTGTATTTTCTTTTATTTATTTTTCTTTTTTACTTCTCTTGACAGAACTCTGGGTCTGTATTTTCACTTGCTTCATTGATTTAGCCCCTGAATTCTGGGATTTTATCTGCCTAAAATATTGCTCAGACAAAATCAGGGAGACTGTGACTGAGGTAGTACCTCTGATGTGCTGGGAAAAGGCACCAGGGCACCCATTTGTAAATAAGTTTTGATTTTAATTTCACTATCATTTATTCTGGTTGCTGTAGAGATTTCCACTGTGGGTTGTTGTGATTCCCAGAAGAGTCAGGAATGATTAAACGTCCAGCTCAGTAACAACTCTTGTCTCAGCATGTGTATTTTTGCTTTTCAGGTTGCTATTAAGGACAAACAAGAAGGAATTGAATAAAATACTCCCTTTGGAGCAAGACTGTTACTTCTGAGGCAGAATGATGTGTCTGTTATTGGATGAAATATTTAAACCTCCATTCATGGCAAATATTTTCCCCCTTGTCCCACTTCTGTTTAATTTTTGACAGCAGCAATATTTTGAGTTTGGGGTTTGTTTCATTTCATAGTTGACAGGCACTTTGCCAAGAGAATAAATGTCATGTTGGAGTTGGTGGATAAGTCATTAAAGTGATTTTTAGTTTTCTAATTGGAGTCTTAAGGCAAATATTTGTCCTGGGCTGCTGGGGAGGTTGTTGTGGGTACAATTCCGGCATGAGAAGCTGGTCAGTGACAGCTCTAGATGAACTCTCTGCTTTTCCTGCCAAAAACTCCAGGCACTGCCAGCTGAACTGGTATTTTGTTTTATTAACTGTCATCTCTATAAAACAAATGCACAAATTGTGAAAACTTACAGTAAAAGAAACCGGATGTTTACAATGAACTGATGAGTTTAACAAACTCTTAACCTTGGTTTTGTTTTTTTTTTTGTGTTGTTTTTTTTTTTTTCCTCTCCATCTTGCACATAAAGCTGGTCTAGAAAACGCTGATGGGCACATGGGTAACAGTCACTAATACTGCACTAGGTCAAAGCACGGGGGTGGAACTGTGGCACAGGGAACTATGACTTCTTCCAGATTGCTGTTATGTTCACACTGGTCAGCACAACAAGGTAGGTGAAGGCAGGGTCTGCTACCACGTTGTTCACCAGGATTTCAGGAGGCTGCTCCCCGTTCACCCGGAGCTCCGGCCACTTGAGGATCTGTGGGAGAGCAGAGGGGGTGGTGGAGTGTCTGAGGGGGAGGTGGGGCCCTGGGGATCCCAAGGCAGAGGATCTTCCTTTTTCTGAGGGGCTGGTGGAGCTGTGGGATACACTAAAGGGCCAGGGTTTGCACAAAGGGGCTTGAGCAGGGAGGGACAAGTGAAAACAGCTGCACTTCAGTCCCAGAGGAACTGACTGGGAGCTTGGCAATGCACTTCCAAAAAAAACCTGAGGAATCACAGAATGGTTGAGGTTGGAAAAGACCTCCCAGAGCATCGAGTCCAAGCTGTGACCGAGCAGCACCTTGTGCAGCAGAGCTCTAGGTGGCACCTCCAGGGATGGTGACTCAGGGATGGCATTGTCTTCCACTACCTGAATAACCCTTTCAGTGAAGAAATAATGGAACACGGGGTCACTTCATGTCTAATGTAGCTCCAGACCAGTGGGTGAGAGCCTTTGGAGTGTTTGTGATTGTCCTTTCAGAGGGACAGGCAAGGGAGCAGTGACTGCCCAAAAGAGAATCATCTCCAGAGGGAAATACTGGGCAGAAAAAGGGTGAGTGAGCACAGGGAAGCAGCGAGCCCTTTTCTGCCAGGGAATGTTCACTCTGGCTTCCCTCCCTGGGGAATGTGGTGCCTGCACACCTGTGCTTTTGTACTCCTCAGTTTAACCACCACCATTTTTTTAGGGCTCTTCTAGGAAGAGCTGCAGGGGGTGACAGGTTTGCTTTGCAGCTTCTCATTCCTGTCCCAGCCTTGACACGCTCTGGAGATTGTTTTTATTTGTGAGGGTCAGGTGTGGAAAAACAAGGTATGTTCTGGGATAAGCCTGCTCAGGAGACTGGGATCAGCTGCCCTGGGGTGGAAAGGAGGCCCAGAGAGCACCTCAGACCTACCTGTGTGGGAGAGATGCTCCGCTCTGAGCGCTTCCCCTTTGCAGAGCCCCAGGCCGTGGTGTAGTTGGAGAGGTCGTACATCCACACACTGCCATTCTCATCCCCACAGAACACGTACTCTTTTGCTGTGAGAGCAGAACAAAAAGCTGGAAAACGAGTGTGGAGCTGGGAGTCTGTTCTGCTGTAAAGCAGAGCTCCAGGAGAGCTGCAGGATCTCAATGAAGGGTGCCAAATTTCAGCAAAATTCCCTTACTGGCACAAAGATATGAATCTATCTTGCTCTGAAAGAATTAATTTGAAGATAAAGCAGCTGTCTTTAGTGTAGAGAAGCTAGTGCTAAATGCTTTGGGATTACTCCTGATATTTTTTAGACTGGTTTTGGGAAGTGCTGACTGGATCAGGTTTGTTTGTGGTGTTATTTCCAGCCAGCTGGTGCTGGGCTGAGGCCGTGCAGTGCTGGAGCTGCACTGCAGAGCTGCAGAGGGGAGAGCAGAGCTCTCTGATGGGCTCTGAAATCCAGGCCTCTGCCTCCAGCTCAAGGCTGCTCCCATGGATCAAAGGAGAGCCAGAAACAACTGGGAAAAGCATAACTCAGGAAATGAGTGCTCCCACCTGGGCAGGTGCTGAGTGTCAGGTAGGACATGTCTGTTGTGGACCACTCCAGCTCAGCCAGAATAACTGCAGACATTGTCCGTTGGCATCCTTTTCCCTTGGCATCAAAAGACCTGCTCCAACTCCACAAATATATGCATCCTGGTTTGGAGCTCTTGGAAACTAGGGAAGAAAGGAAAGGAGAGGCTGTGGCAGCTGCTGGGAAGCAAAATGCATCAAGACAAAGGTGGTCCATCCAGAATATGAATTTCAAGCCATCTATCCAGCAGTAACTGTTTCCACCTGCTTTACCTTTATTTCAGGATAACTGGAGGCTGCAGAGAGATTTTCAGTGCTATGCTTATGTTCCTGAGCTGCAGAACAAGCATAAGCTATTCAGAAAGAGCCAGCCTGTGAAGTGAAACCCCCAGTTCTCCTGAAAAAAACCACTGTTGCCACCAGCCCTGGAGCAGAAAGGGACTCTCCTCCTTTCCACACTGGCACTGCTTGGCCAAGTGTGCTCTCAGGGTTGTGTCCATCTGATTTCTGGTCCTGTCCAAGCATGGGTTTGCACTCTAGGTGACATTTTTGGGAAAGACAAGCAACTCTGAGAGACAACTCCATCCTGTGCAGCCCCCACAAAGCTAAAGAGGCTGTCACACCCCTTTCAGCCCCTCTGCTTGTCATGCTGGCATCACCCTGCACATGCTGAAGTGCCCCACTGGTTTTGGGATTGAGTTTATACTCACCAACAACATCATCATTGAGAAAAGCCAAACCATCAACCCTGTGAGATGTTGTCACACTTTCCTCATCAGGAAACTGGAATATGGCTTCAAAAGGCCTAGAGCAGGGGAAAGGGTGAAATGAGCCAAGTCCTGAACAGCCAGCAGTGAAAGGGCACCCTGCTGCAGAGCCCAGAAGGAAATTTGTGTGTTAGTGAGTGTCCTGCCTAGCTCGGATGAATTCTCACTTGAATTTACACTTTTGGTTACCTGGGTTTATTAATACAGCAGATGCCTGTTTGCTCAACAGATTGTTGTTTCACTCCATCCTGCAAAAGCAGGCATCAGGACATTTGTCAGCAGGGCATGACTTTACTTGCTTCTCCCTTGTAATTTTGTCCTGAGCTCTCACAGGGTGCCAGTTTCCTGGGTTACCTCACGTACCAGGAGCAGGGGAGGCCTCACTGTGAGACTGGAAATCGATCCAAAAATTTACACTCCGTTACACTACCTGGAGATGACACACCCTTAAGTTTAGGGGTATTGGATTACACTCCTGCCAGCCTTCCTGCAAAGCAGCCTGCAACACCTGCAGACTGCAGCTTTAAACAAGCTCTGAACAGTCCTTGAGCATCATACTCCTATTTTTTCTGGTCACTTTGGGAAGATAGGCTGTTTTAAGTTTGGTGGGATGTGCTGCTTTTGCTCTGACCTCCTCAGAAATGAAGCTTTTGCTAGGACTATCCCTTCTTGTTATGGAAAGCAAACGCAGACCTCCAGCTTGTGGTTCTCACCTGCTTTTTTGTCCTTTATCCAGTTTTATGTTCCAGGCAAAGCAGCCATCTTCACAGCCTGCCAGCAGGTACTGCTCTGGGCAGGTGGGGACCAGGGCAATCCGTAGGGGGATAGAAGCTGTTTCCAGCACCAGCAGCTGGCTAAAAAAAAGCAAAAAAAAGCAGAGAACAAGAAGTGCTGCTGTGAGGTGATAGTTACAGGCTCTTGGAGTGGCCACATCTGGTTTTTGAACCCTTACCTTGCTTTGAAATTGTAGTCACAGTCTGGAATCCCAATATCCCAGAGTGCAATTCGCTTGTCATAGGATGCAGCTGTGGGACACAGAAGAGAAGCAGTGACACTGCTGCTCATCTGGCTCTTCTCGTGCTAGCTGGCAACTCTGCCTGAGTCACAGTCACCCTCTAAGGCTCATTAAAGCACAGCAGCAGCCCCAGAGGCTCCTGGCCCAGCACTTCCCAGACACTGTCACACATGCACAGTCAGTGTGTGTTTGTGTTCTTATCCTGTGTTCTAAGAGGGGCAGATAAAACAAAGTTTGTATCCTGGCGTCCATTGCCGAGTTGTGGCTTCACAAAGTTTTTAGTTAGTGGCCCTCTGAGCTCGTTTCTGGTCAGGGCTCCTGGTGGAATCTAAAGTAAGAACTCCAACCTCTACTGTCAGGCAGACTTTATTCCACATATCCATGGCTTACTGTGTTCACACCCATAACAGCTCCCACTGGGAAAGTTAGGCACTGACAAAGGGTGAGAAACATCACTGGAAGCAGGAACAGTTCTAACAGATTACTCTGAGTAACCTGGACCCTCATCAGATGGCAGCCCTCAAACTCAGAGTTTGTTGGTGTCCCCTCCTCAAAAAGGATGCAAATAATGTCCCTTAATTACTCTACATTTTTCAATGAAATATAATGAGTCTTGCTGTCCACACCATTATATGGCTGTGCTACCAACCTCCTTATCCCTTCCACCACCCTCCTTATCCTTTTCTCTGCTTCTCCTTTTGGCACTCCTGAGCTTGTTCTTGAAAAGTACCCCCCATTCTTAAAAAAATTCCTCTTGTAATGGTTCATGTAACACTCTAACCACTCCAGGATGTGGGCAATTGTAAGCAAGAGAAACAATGTGCTGTGGAGTGCAGGTGTGGCCCGAATGGCCCTGTACCAGCTCACTGTACAGCCTGACAATGCAGCTGCAATTTGTAACATGATGGTTCATTAGCAGTCCATGAGCCACAGCCTCTGTGGGCCCTACTGTGTGGCAAAGCTCTGCTTGACATCAGGACCTGAATAGAAATCTCAGATGAGGCATAGAACTCACATAAAAAAAATCAAAATCAATTAAGTACATTGTTGGATAAAATGAAACTAAACAGCCCATAATAGGCTGCTGTGCTGGAGGGGAGCCCTGCCACTGCCTGGCTCCCAGCTGCCTTCTCTGCTATTCTTCTTACTCATCCCCGTGGAACAGATCCACTACTGGGCTCGTTTGTGCCTGATGTGTGTGTGACAGCCACCCTGAGAGCCACCAAGGGAGAAACAGGAGCTGCTGCACCTCAGCTGAAGAGCCAGGCTCTGGCTGAAACAAGCTGCTCCTGCTGGAGATTGCTGCCACAGGACAGTAACAATGTTCTCTCCCTAACACCTGTCTGTGCCTTTTGTTCATGTGTCCCTGCATGCCCTGCTGACAATTGCCCT